TCAGCATCAGCATCATCATCATCATCAGCACCATCAGCATCCCTGTCCTCCTCCTCATCCTCCTCCCCCTCCACCTCCTCCTCCTATTTCTCCTCCTCATCCTCCTCGTCATCGTCCTCGTCCTCGTCCTCGTCCTCCTTCGCCTCCTCCTCGTCCTCGTCCTCCTTCGCCTCCTCCTCCTCCTCCTCCTCCTCCTGCCCTTCCTCTTCGTCTTCTTATTCCTCCTCCTAATCCCCCCTCCTCCTCTTCCTCCTCCTCCTCCTCCTCGTCCTCCTACGGTCCAGACCACCTCGCGCGCGGCATTTCAAAGGCTAGAGTTGCGAGGTTGCTAGGTTGTCTCAAGCGAAAAGACCAAATGTCCTGGAGCCCAAACCTTTGAAAATGTCTCAGACGGAACGGCCCAGACCACCTCTCGCACGGCATCTCGGGTCTTAGAGTTTCGAGGATGTCTCAGACGAAACCGCCCAGACCACCTCGCGCGCGGCGTCTGGGAGCCCAGATGTTCGAAGTTGTCCCAGGCGAAACGGCCAATCCTGGGCAACTCAGAAACTCAGGAAGCCCAGAGCACAAGATTTTTGTTGAGGATGTCTCATCTCCCCTTGCCCTCGGGCCGAGTCAGCTTCTACCCCAACGGCACCCCGTTCAGCAAGCAGTTGGGGGTCTGAAATGACGACCGGAGCCCTGGACCCTACCGTTCCGTACCACTCCTCAAATCGAATCGATTCCCGCCAGGCCCCGGGGGGCCGGAGGCTGGGCGAAACCGCCCCTTGCGACAACCAGCGCAACGCCCGCGCCTCCCGCCTCGCCCGGCCTCGTCCCTCCTCAGAGGAGGCCTGGGCCCCTTCTCGAGAGCCCCTCTCCCTCCCTTTGGGCCCGAGTTCTCCGGGGTAACTCGGGTCCGGGGTAACTCGGGTTTGGATTCCCGAAAAAGGAACCCGAGTTAGCCCTGACCCGAGTTACCCCTGATGATGTGGGGCTCTGGACGCCCGAGTTATCCGGGGTAACTCGGGCCCGGGGCCACTCGGGTTCGGAATCCCGAAAAACGAACCCGAGTTGGCCCTGACCCGAGTTACCCCTGATGATTCGGGTCTCTGATGTCTCGCCCCTCCCCCTCCCTCCCCGAGCCCCCCCTAGGGACCGCCGGCGGGGGGCGCCCCGGCGCGGGCCGAGCGAGGCCCCGAGGTCCTCCCGGCAGAGGGGGCAGGTCGGGCTCCGCCGCAGCCGGCGCGCCTGGCCCCGGGCGGCCCCCGCGCGGCCGCCGTCGGACGTCGCCCCTCGGCGCCGTCCGCCCTCGTCGCCAGCGTGGCCGTCGGCGGTGGAGGAGCACAACGTGGGAGGACTGGGGAGGCGAGGAGGCGAGGAGGGAGGAGGAGGAGGAGGAGGAGGAGGAGGAGGAGGAGGAGGGGAGGAGGAGGAGGAGGAGGAGGAGGAGGAGGAGGGAGGAGGAGGAGGAGGAGGAGGAGGGAGGAGGAGGAGGAGAGAGAGAGGAGGGAGAGGAGAGAGAGACGGAGAGAGAGAGAGAGAGAGAGGAGGGTGAGGAGGAGGAGGAGGAGGAGGAGGAGGAGGAGGAGGAGGAGGAGGAGGAGGAGGAGGAGGAGCGGGGGAGGCGAGGAGGCGAGGAGGGAGGAGAGAGGAGTGGAGCAAGCAGGAGCTTCCTCGGCGCTGGCCTCAGCACCGACAGCGCAGGTGGAGAACTGCCTCCGGCGGCTGCCTCTCCAGGCGATCCCGTGAGCACATGGGCCGAAACAAAAGAGGAGCTGCTGCTGTCGCTGGGACCTAACCAATCAAGGAACATCGAAAGGCCATGCTACTACCACTGAGGAATCAATCGGACAGGAACCAGAGGCTGACGCAACTCTCCCTCCACCCATCTCTGGTAAGATGCTCAACTCTGGGCCGCTGCGGGGGATCTCGTTTCCGCCCCGGCTCTGGTGCGGGAAGCGTTATAATGTCATGTGTTGAGTTGTTGAGGGGGGGGGGTACTGATTTCTTCCTACGGAGGAAGGAGGAGAACGACGGAGGCAGGGAGGAGGAGGAGGAGAAAGGGAAAGAGGGAGGGGAGGGAGGAGGGAAGGAGGAAGGAAGAGGAGGGTGGTGAAGGGAGGGAGGATGTTGTCGGGGGAGGCGGAAGGTGAAGGGCGTGGGAGGGAGGATGAGGATAATAAGGAAAGCAAGAGGAGGGAAAGAGAAAGAGAAAGAGAGAGAGAGAGAGAGAAACAAACTGCATGCGCTCGAGCCATCTCTCACATCCTGCCCTTTCCACCCATCCCTTCCCGAAGTGCTGTTTTTCTTATCTGCCGACGCGCGTCATAGAAGACCTGGAACTCTAAAGAAGACACCGTCGTGTTATGGAATCAATGAGCTCGGAGGCCCCGCCCCCTTCAGAGCACGTATGCCCCCAGTGGTCTCGATCCGCGCCATCGCCTGCATAGCACACGGCGCCCCCCGCGGTACAGCGGCCGCCGCTCGGACTGGCCTGCAGCGCGCATAACCTGAACCTCCTCTCCTTCCTCCCCCCTCTCCATGTTCCTCTGCCTTCGCCCCGCTTTCCCCCTCCCGGTCCCCCCCATCCTCTTTCCTCATCCTCATTCGTCTCTGTGTCCTCCTCTTTCTTTGACGCCTCCCTCCCCCTCCTGCTGCTTCCCTCTCCTACCGTCTCCTCCACCTCTTCCTCCGCCGCCCCTTCCTCCGCTTAACTCCATTCGCCCTCCTCATCCTCCTGCTCCCCCCTCGCACCCCCTCCAAACCTACAGCATGTGTCATGTTTTTCGAGTTGCGGGCGAACCCCGCGGCTGTTTTAGATTGAAGAGGGGGCCCTTGGAAGCCGTGGCAGGAGGAGCCACGCAGGCGCGCCCTCAGGGGCGGCCATCTGTGCTCATCAATCTACCTTACCTCACAATCAGTACCACATAGCAGTATGGAAGATTCCTCTTACTGTCTGTTGCGCGAGAAAGGCGAGCACTGGCAACGAACTGATAACAACTGCGTCACACTGCAACGCTAGTACTGATTGAACCGTGATCATGCGGAACAGTCATGTTTCTCCCTTCGCTCCCTCCTCCTTCTACGAATGGACTCCTTTTTGAATGGGCCCTGGAAACGGCAAGGCCGTCTTATGAAGGGCTTCAGCACAACAACTGCCTCTTGATATCGAAATGGAAAAACGGTTCACCGAAACAGCAAACAACAAATTGACGGAAACGGCCTGGGCAGCCCGGGGATCCAAAGGACGTTCGGACTCGGTTCGAAAACAGCTGGGACCCGGTAAAACAACTATCTGGACCAAGCCCCCACCAGGGAAAGCGAAGGCGGCAAAACCACGGCGCCGGAGACACCAGACACAGCTGCGCCAAAGATGATATAAAAAACACACGGGCAAACGAAAAGGGTCGAAGAAACTGCCCTGCCGCTTCCAGGGCCCGCCAATCGGCGACGAGCGAAGGAGGGGGAGTCAGAAGAAGAAGGCCTTCCAAGAAGGCGGCGGGGCTTCTCAACGCCCTGTGGTGCTGCTAGCCTGGCCCACTCTGAGCCTGACTGGAGCCTCCTCCTCCTCCTCCTCCTCCTCCTCCTTCTCGTCCTCCTCCTCGTCCCCGTCCTCCTCCTCATCCTCCTCTCCCTCCTCCTCCTCCTCCTCCTCCTCCTCCTCCTCCTCCTCCTCCTCCTCCTCCTTCTCGTCCTCCTTTTTCTCCTCCTCCTCCTCCTCCTCCTCCTTCTGAGAAGTGCTCTGCGTCTTCAGGGAGGGCTCAGACTCCTTCTCCGAAGGCCGGGTGACTCCCGAGCCTTTTGGGGACGCCCGCCCCCCTCTCGCTCCGGAGGAGGAGGAAGACGAGGAGGAGGAGGAGGAGGAGGAGGAGGAGGAGGAGGAGGAGGAGGAGGAGGAGGAGGAGGAGGGGGAGGAGGAGGAGGAGGAGGAGGAGGAGGAGGAGAGGAGGAGGAGGAGGAGGAGGAGGAGGAGGAGAGAGAGAGGAGAGAGAGAGGAGAGGAGGAGGAGGAGAGAGAGGAGGAGGAGGAGGAGGAGGAGGGAGGAGGAGGAGAGAGGAGGAGAGAGAGAGGAGGAGGAGGAGGAGAGGAGGAGGAGGAGAGGAGGAAAAGAGGAGGAAGAGGACGTGGGGGGGAGGAGGGAGCCCCTCAGGCTGGGCCCGCCGAGCCAAGGCACCGCCTGCCCCCGCCCCCCAGCCCCTCATGCTGTCGAGTGGTTCGCTTGCAACTTATGCAGGCGCGCGCGGGCGTGGAAATGGCCGGGGGGGGGGGGGGGCAGCGGCCCCCGCAATGCCCTCCTTCCGATTGGCTGGGGAGGGCATCCCCCCCTCCCCTGCTCGGAGGAGGAGGAGGAGGAGGAGGAAGACGAGGAGAAGGAGGAGGAGGAGGAGGAGGAGGAGGAGGAGGAGGAGGAGGAGGAGGAGGAGGGAGAGAGGAGAGAGAGAGGAGGAGGAGGAGAGAGAGAGAGAGAGAGAGAGGAGAGAGAGAGGAGGAGGAGGAGGAGGAGGAGGAGGAAGAGTAGGAAACTGGGAAACTGGAGCACACACGACGTGCGTGGCTGGATTCACGCGTGGAGACATGCGGGCCCACGCGTTGAGCACACGTGCGGGGGGGTGGCGTGCCCAGGAGGGACGCGCGCTGGACACACGCCATGCCAGAGCCAGGCGCTGGAATCACGTGTATGGCCACCTGCGTATCCAACTCTCGCCCAGGCCGGCCACATCATGTGTATCCAGCTTCCTGGTACTTCGGCTGCGCACCACTCACGCGAGCTCCTGGGAGAACCAGTGGGTTGGGGTGCTACGCGGATGCAATGATGAGACCTCGCCCTCACTGGGCGCAGCAAACTGCGCAGCTACCGCCGCTCTCGTTAGTTCCTGAGAGGTTCAGCGGAGAGTGGTCCTACGGGGAACCAAACCACAGCTTGTCATCACTGGGTGCTGCCGACTGCGACTCCTGTCGCCACTTTCGTGAGCGCCTGGCTGGGTCCAGCGGAGTGCAGTCCTGCGGAGGTCCAGTTTGTGCGGCCCCCTGCGCAACCACCACCACTTTCAGCGGAGCGCGTTCCTGCGGGATCGTGAGATTTCGTGCTACTTGGGAGAAGCCCACTGCGCAGCTGCCGTCTAGTTCGAGCAAGCCTGACAGGACCGCTTGGTGACTCTTCTGGCCACCCATCAACGCACGGAGATGTATCCTCATCTGAGCTGCCAGATTAGCTCCATACTCGTAGTAACGTGCTTTGGCCATCCACGGGAATGAGCCCCATGCGGCCCATGCGCTCGGCCGCCTCGACCTGCTGATCGTGGCAGATGACATAGGACGCCTCGTGGTGTGCCTCACGTCCCTTGTCGCCTGGGCGCTCGCCATTGAGCAGCTTGAGGTGGTCGATGACTTTGTCCACACCACTGTCACCGTCGACCAGGTGTCTGATGGATCTGAACTTTGCCTGGATCTCGATGGGAAAAGGAATTCGATATGTACAGGTAAAGATGTTCCAACCCATGCCACGTCGGTGGAGCGGAGAAGTCGCGGTTGACCTCTGGCCAGGGCTCCTTGATCCATCGCTGATCGTCTTGACTGGTGCCGCACCGATCTGAACCCTGGCGGTCCCAAGAGTCCGACCAGGAGGAAGGTCGCTGCCACTAGGGATTCCGCCTCTACCATTAAGTCGGGCCTGTCCCCCTACAGGGGTGTTTTAGACGAAAAATGAAAAATAGTCGAAACATACCCCCGAAATGGTCAACAGTTATTGAAAAAATGGTCTCCAAACTATTGTTTTACTATTTTTGAATTTTCCTCCTGTAGAGGGACAGGCCCGACTTAACTCTACCACTGTTCTGCTTGGCCTGCATTATGGGGGCCTGGGCCGGCTGCCGCTGCGGCCCCCTCGTCTCCTTCCCTTGGTGGCGTGGCGACGACCTCCCACGGTCGAAGTGGGCGCTCTGGCCTGAAGCTTCCTAGTCCCGGGTGACCTCAGATGGTGGCGGAAGCTGCCCCCCCCCCACATCCTGCGTCCTCCATTCGGCGGTGGACAAACCTCCCTTTGGTAAACCTCCCCTTAGTGAAAACGGCCTAGGGCCGAAACCGACGGACCTGGACCCGCAAAAAATGACGGCCGCGACGGCCTCTCGCGAACCGAAAACGGCCAATTCCTTAATCGACGTGTCAGGCTAGGAGGTCTATCAACCTCCGATCCATGCCGTCCTCGACCACGCTCCGGCTGCCGTTGCCGGCAGTCGTGGCGTCCACGGGGAACGAGGGACATACATATAGGACCTCTTGCTCTGACCAGCTCTGGAGCACAAGGAACATGGCCATCTCCTGGCGCGGAAGCGCCTTAGAGCCAAAAACTGCTGTGGTGCACCTGTCTGTCACATGGGAGAGTGGGGAGAAGACGAAAAGGAAGACAGTCCCCCCTTCTCACTACCTCCTCCCTCCTGATGCACGGGTGCGTTCTCGGGGCCGTCGGCATCCCCAGGCTGACTTAAGGGGTGTTTCGAAAATGCCACCTCATCCATCCACACTCATGCGCTCCCTGGGCATGTTCATGAAGTTCGTGCTGCTCCTCATCTGCGTCCGACGGGGCGTCTTTGGCCATGGATGTCAAACAACAATCCTGCCCTTCCCTCCCTCCGTTCTGCTGAGCCCCACTCCTCCTCGCCCTAGCGATCCTCCGCCGCCTCTTCCTCTTCCTCCTCCTCCTCCTCCTCCTCCTCCTCCTCCTCCTCCTCCTCCTCCTCCTCCCCTCCTCCCATCCTCCCCCTGGCCCATTCATCTCTCCTCCCCGTCGGGGAGGGATGAACAAAAGACGCGGGAACAACCAGAAGGCTGGAACGACGCTACCCCCTCATCCCACTTCTCCTCCTCTGCTTGGCAGTTTCGACAAAAGGGCAAGAGGGTCGCGGCTCCCGCTCCTGACGGCCACTTCCTCCTCCTCCTCCTCCCTCCTCCTCCTCCCCTCCCCCCCTCCTCCCTCCTCCTCCTCCTCCTCCTCCTCCTCTTCCTCATTCTCCTCCTCCTTCTCCTTCTCACGCATTCCCCTCGTCATCCTCCCCCTTCCCTCGACCCTTCTGGGCTCCTCTTCATCCTCCCCTTCCCCCCGACCCTTCTGGAATCTGGGACCTCGCCGTGAGGTGAACCGGCAAATGATCTGTCCAGTGCAGTCTCCTTCGCCTCCGCCTCCGCCTCCCCCTCCGACCCCGCCGCAGCACTCCGACGAGAAGCAACGACGACGGCGGCGGCGCCGACGGCGACGACGGACGTCTGACGACCGACGACGACCGACCACTGGCATCGACGCCGGACGACGACGGCGGCGGTAACGGCGACGACGGCGGCGGCGGAGGACGGACGAACAAACGGACGGCGACGTCCGACGACCGACGGCGAGGACCTTTTGGGTGACCGAGGGGCGCGGCGCGGCGCGGCGCGCGCGTCGGCCCGCGCACGGCGGCGGCGCGGGAGAAGGGGCCCGTCGCGGGCGCAGTGGGGCCACGCGGAGGAGGATCCGAGCGCGGGGAGCCCTGGCCCCTCGTGCCTCCTCGTTGCTGCTCGTCCCTGCTCGTCCCTCCCTCCTCGCCCCCCAGTCCCCCCGTCTCCCTCCTCCCTCCTCCCTCCCCTCGCGCCTCGCAGCCCGTGCTCGCCTCCCCCCCCCCCCCACCCCCGGCCCAGGCCCACACCGGGCCCCCGATCTGTCTCCGCGTCTCCTCCTCCTCCCCCTCCTCCTCCTCCCCTCCTCCTCCTCTCCTCTCCTTCCTCCTCCTCCTCCCCTCCTCCTCCTCCTCCTCCCTCCATTTCTACCCTCCTCCTCCTCCACCTCGCCTCCTCCTCCTCCTCCTCCATCCCTCCTTCTCCCTCCTCCTCCCTCCTCCTCCTCCACTCTCTCTCCTCCTCCTCCTCCTCCTCCGTCCCTCCGTACCTCCGCCATCACCCCTCCTCTCCTCCCTCCGACTTCCTGCTGCCCCCAGGGCCCGCCGCGAAGGGAGGTGAGCCACCCCTCGGGCCGAGGAGGGGGAGAAAGACCGAGCCGGTGTTGCATCGGGGGTCTGAGGAGATCGACTCTGGAAACCCTCCTCCTCCTCCTCCCTCCTCTCCTCCTCCTCCTCCTCCTCCTCCTCCTCCTCCTCCTCCTCCTCCTCCTCCCCTCGTTGGGCTCCCTTGGCGGGGGCAACACTTACTTACGAGCCGCTCGTGGGAAACCGATAGCAGCCTGAAACAACAAAAAAACGGCCCGCGTAACGGGCGGTCGTGAGATGCGATCCGTTACTGCAGGGCGGCATCGGAAATCGGACTTGCCGCAGAGAGCCGCGCGAACCTGGAGAGATGGCACGGGAGCACCAATGTGTCAATGGAGCGGCGCCCAGAACACATCGGGACCAAACTATCATCGAACACCTCTCGACGAACGAACTGCGCTTCCGCTGATTGTCCGCTGGCCCCAGTCGAAGGCGAGAGGCAAATTCTTCGACCCGTGACAGAAAACCTATCAAGTGGCATGGCGAATTCGCCCCATCTCGGGCTCGAGGGGCACCGCGCAAAGGGAAAGTCGAGGGTTCTGGCTGCGTTTCCCCACGTGGAGCCTTCCGCAAGGGTTTTTCAACATGTTGCGAAGGCACACTCAATGATGGATCTGCCGATGTGGTGGACCGCGGAGTGCCTCGCGCAGCCTGTGGTGCGGACGGGCGCAGCCTGCGGCGCAGTTGTGCACCCAGGACGGCATCCGCCGACTTGGTGGCCCGCGGGGTCTGGCGCCGCCGATGGCTAAACCTATGGCACAGTGGTGCACCTACTGCGGATTCCCGCAGGCGCGAGACGACGACCACGCCTGCTGCCGCAGGACAATCCTCGCGACCTCGCGCGACCACCGTGGCCAAGGGCAGCTGTTCGGCACAGGCCGAGGGGCGCGACAACGTTTCGCGCCGTGGAGGGTGGCCTGACTCTTTGGGGCCTCGCATCCCACGTCGCGACTGTTCTGCAACGCGGCCACATAGAAAAGTCAGGGCCCTGTGCGGAGACCGCCTGGCTTTTCATCCCATGCCGTTTCCCATGCCGTTCTTTGAGGACCCCAGGGCCCCAAGTCGGCTTGGTTTCTCCAGAACCCTTCAGCCCCTCCGTCGTCATTTCAGGCGGAGGCGCTCCGGGAGGCCGAGACCTCCCGCCGTAATTTGTGGCCACGGCGCGAGGAGGGCAGGGCTCGAAATGGCCAGCTTGCAGACCTTCGGGAGCGGCCAAGAGGGGGGGGTCCAAGAGGGGGGGGTGCAGATCATGACCGGCGGCATGTGCGCGGCCCAGCGGGGGGGGGCCAGGGACGTAATGAGACAAGAAGAGGCTCCATGAAATCTGGGGAAATATCATGGCCCCCGCCATGATATCCACCCCCCCCTAGTCGTCACCCCCCTCTTTTCCGCCCCCGAGGCCTCGCCGCGGCCTGCTCCATCGCTCAGGGATCCGCGTTCGCCGCGCCCGGAAGCGCCGCCGCCAAGCGCGGGAGTGGGGCTGGCGGCGGTGCGAGTCGGAGGCCTCCTCCTGCCCGACCCCGCGCTCGCTCCCCATCTTGCATCCCCCTCCTCCCCTCCTCCTCCTCCTCCTCCTCCTCACCCTCCTCCTCCTCCTCCTCCTCCTCCTCCTCCTCCTCCTCCTCCTCCTCCTCCTCCTCCTCCTTCCGTTGGCCATTTTGGCTCAAGGCCTCGTGTTCCCCGCGGACAGAGTGGAGGCCTCTGATCCGAGGACGGGCAAGGCGTTTCAGCCTGGCACGGTTTTGGCCTTCACCGCGGGACTTGGGCCTCCACAGCCAGTGCTCCGCCGCACATGCCCAAGGCTCGCACTTCCACGGTCTGCAATGCGCGCAGCGCTTGGGTGTACGACTGGAAGCTGGCGCGGCCTGACGGCTGGTGCGACACACGCAACGACTACATGTCGGCGCCGCAGTGGCAACCGCAGGGGTCCCAGGAGACCCGCGCGGGGAGGCCGCCATGGTGGAACTCCCGATCGCTGCTCCCCACGCCCGAGCAGGAGCTGGACGCGATCATCAAGAAGTTCGAGACGAAGAAAGGGGGCTACACGTTGGACGTCGATGTCCAGGCTCTCCGCGACTTCCGTGACATGATTGAGAGTGCAGCCCCGCGGAAGCCGAAGCGCGAGATGCAACAGTCGTCGGCGCTCACGCAGGCAGTCAACAAGAAGGAGCAAGCCCAGAAGGAGCTGGATTCGGCGACGGCGGCATTGCTGGCGGCCCAGAAGCGTCTGGAGGAGGCGCAGAGGGCCCAAGATGCGGCGGCGTTAAACATGGAGGAAGCGGAGTCGGAACACCTCAAGGTTCTTGATGAGTACTACGCGCAGTCCAAGCCCACGGAGCACTTGGACGGCCATGCAGATCAAGCGTGGCGGGCACCTGAGGTGGACGAGGCTCTCGTCCAGGATATTGACGAGTTCCAGCCTGAGGACAAGGCAAAGCTGCTCAAGTTCAAGCCTGACATGCAGTAATTGGCGGTATTGGTGCAGAGCGCATACAACCAGTATAAGGAGTTCGACGAGCTGGCGAAGCAGGCGAAGGAGCTACAGCGAGCGCACCAGGAGGCGAAGCGCAGGAAGGTGGGTGAGGAGGACGCGACGGCGGTCGCGGCCCCAAGCGCGCCCGCTGCTGCAGACGCGCCCACGAAGCAGGAGGAGCCCAAGGACCTGGAGGAGGAAGAGGCGGCCACAAGGGCACGCAGGAAGGCCGCACCGCAAAGGCTCAAGGACGAGTCCATGTCCCGCCCGCAGGCGCGCAAGGCGCCGACCTCGACCCCCACGCCAGGAACCACTGGCACCATGAAGCTCAGCAAGCACCAGAACGGGGACCACGAGCAGATGGATGAAAGGGGGCGCTGATGTGGCTCCTGGTGGTCTTTAGCATCGTCTTCGCCAACCGTGCCAAGTGGGGCCAGCTGGCCCGCGAGTACCTTCACCAGCCTGGCAACGACATGGACATCTCTATGATGTGTGAGGCGCGTGTGGCGGCGCAGGACGTTGAGGAAGCCGGGGCGGCACTGGCGGGAGACGGATAGCGACTACTGGCGACGCCTGCGAAGCCAACACAGAAGCCGGAATACGGCAACACGGGAGGCGAATTTATCGCGATTCGGTCGCATGTGGCGGCCACGGGATATGACGAGTTACGGAAAATAATCACGCGCGAGGGCATGGCAGACCCCTGCTGTGGTTTCTCAGCGGTCACTGTACATACTAAGTGTGACAACGTAGTTTTTACATCGGCCTACCTAGTACCAAGGACGGACTGGGTGGGCCAAGTTTTGAGAGAATGCGAGCGCAAGCTGCCTTCATCAACTCCATTACTGACCCGTGGGCGGTGCTGGCAGACTGGACCATCCCGTTCTACAAGACGCAGCAGTCCAGCTTCCTGGAACGAGTGGGAGGAGCACTCCTACGACCAGATGCGGACGCCACCTGTGGCAACGGTAAGGGCAACCTCATCGACAACGGCATGGCCAGAAGGAACATCCTGCGTCGACTTCGACTGGAAGCTTTACAGGGGGGCCCTTGGAAGACGCACTGCGGCCTACGACTGCATGTGCAGGGCGCTTCGCAGTCATGGCGGCACCGAGCAGCGAGCTTGCCGAGGCCGCTGCCGACGCTGACGAGACCTCAGAAGAAGCCAGACCCTACGAGCAAGAGCTGAATTAAAATGATCACGGGGCGCAACAAGAAGCTGGAGCAGATGGAGCCACACTTGAGAGAGATCTACGAGGACGATAACTCGATTGAGCATGACACCCAGGAGGAAGAGATGCCCCCGCATTGTATCCCGCTGGATATGTGTGGCAGAAGGCGGCGACTGAGGGGCACGGGGACCCCGTAGCTCGCGACCGACATGGAGACCGATGCGGAGCTTATGCGCTGCAGAGACCAGGCCCACATCAAAGAAGAGGAGGAGGAGGAGGAGGAGGAGGAGGAGGAGGGGGAGGAGGAGGAGGAGGAGGAGGAGGAGGCCATCTGCATGTGCGTACGCCGACTGGGTCGCGCGCGTGGCGCTGGCCACCCCGGAGGCGAGCAAGGTGGGCCAGGAGCAGCGCCGCGCCTACATGAGCAGGGCAGCAGGCCCGGGAGCTACCGTGGCAAGAGCACGCCCGACACCAGGTATGGCCCACTTGCGCTACGCGGCGGCGGAGCATTGGGGCATCTGCACGACGCTCACAGCGAAGTACTTGACCCTCAAGCGCACCGGGCTGGACCGCAAACAGCAACTCCAGTGCGCCAGTCAGTTGGAACACGAGGCGAAGACCATGAATGAGCTGAACCAAGGGGAGGGGTTCAGCAAAAAGTTCACGGAACCAGAGCGCGTGAAATGCGACGGGGATATGGGCAACGCGGGGTCGATAACTGCGGGGGACCTGCAGACGTGCTTGGAGACGCTAGAGAGGCACCGAGCGATTGCGCAGGCGATGGGCATCACTTCACAACGGCAGCAAGTTACTTTGGGCTAAACAGGTGTGGTCATCGAAATCGGGGGCGCCCCATCGCCATGTCAAGAGAGAAGACGGCACCACGGTATGAGATGACGGTGATAGGCGGAAGCCCAAGCAGGGAGTCAAATTTCTGCCAGCGCGCGGACCCAAACACGGTGATGGAGCTGAAGGCCACCCTGTGCGAGAGCATCTGGACCGACCCCGTCGACGAACGCACCGGTATCATTGAGCATTTGGCCCAACTTCGGCAAGAAGAGGGCGAGGACCTGCCGGGGATCGCACTCGACCAGTTGGATTACTTCATCAATGTAGCAAGCGACAGCAAGGCGATGGGTTTCGATAGACTGGAACCTGCCGCTGCGCGCAGGCTGCCTGAGGATGGACGCGAATCCGCTCGTCGACATCATACATTATTGTGGGGCGCGCTGTACGCGGCCACGTCAGTGCTCAGCTACTTGGCGTACATTGGCGGGATGGCCCAACGGGGGGCAAACGAATCTCGGGGATGATACACTTTCTGCCGATGGTGTGCAGCAGAGCCAGGGCGACCCTGAGCGATTCGTGTTCCATAGAGCTGTCGGACCAGTGGGATGCGGCGATCAGGGCATCCTACGCGCGTGCTTGGACGAATCGGGGGTGGAGCTCGGGGTCACGTCGCTCGCGCTCTTGTTGGACATCGAGAGGTTATATGATTCAGTCTCGCTCCTTCTGTTGCTCAGGATAGCACGGCGCATGGCATATCCTGCTGCGCTGATGTCCTTGGAGGTTCAGATGTTTTTGGCGCCGCGCTATTTGCAGGAGAGGGCGATCCTCAACAGACGGATACTACAAACCAGATCTATTGTAGCGGGTTCCCCGCGAGGAGCGGGACTCGCGAAGTTGTTTCTTGCGCCCGATCTTGGATTTTGTGCACAAGAGGTCTCCAGCTGCGGATTGTGGTCATGCGTCGACGATGCCACGGCGCGGTGCGAAGGCAGTTGTGCTTCGGTCGGGGAATATATGAACAATACAGCCTTGGACCTGAAAAAATGCCTGGAGGCTCAACGCATGGTCATCTTGCCCAAGACGGTGTTAATTGGCTCCAACCCGACAGTCGCGGCGAAGACGGCTCGACGACTACGCGCGCATGGTCTACCAGTGGTGGCCGCCACCGCGGCAGTTGATCTCGGCCTGGACACGACTGCAGGACGGAAGAGGTCAGTAGCACAGGCAACCCAACGCACGAGGAATGCTATGAGAAGAGCTGGCAGAATACGGAGACTACGAAGAGTGGGCGCACTGGGGGCGCTCTGGCTAAGATAGCACGTGGGCTGTGGAATGCTGGGGCGGCACCTCAAGGACTGCACGGGCAAACTATGATGGGCATGAGGAAACAAGCGTTGAACACGAGATGGGACGACGGCAAGCTGAACACGAGGTGGGAGGTAAAGTGCGCGGACGACGCCTCACCGCCACCCTGGGATCCGACGACACGGTACCCGACCTTGGAGTGGAGGTCCCTATGCAAGTGATGCGAGATTGGCTCTCTCTTTGGCGACAACACCCTGAAGTGCATGACCGGGTCTGCCGTGCTTGGGGCTCAATTCGCACGGGACTCAGGTCGTCGGCTACGAGACGGTGGGCACGGGCGAGAGGTCCGACCTTGACAGTGCAAGCTTCGTTGATGGGCATTGGTTGGGACCCTAATTCAGCCACTACTTGGTTGAGACCCGCCCGCGGAGCTGGATGATGAACCAGTGGAGCAGTGGGAGCTACCGTGCGTTAAAAAGAAAACACATAGAATACCAAGAAGATCTCCACCCCCTTCATCAGCAAGCCGACGAAAGGCGACATGTAAATGCCGAAGACGGTGGTGGGTCATGCCCCACCTGCGCTTTAAATGTCTTCCTCCTCCTCCCTCTCTGCTTCCTCAGCTGACATATCTTTCTCCTCCTCGCGCTCCTCCTCCTCTTCAGCTGACGTTCCTTCCTCCTCTATCTCTACCTCTTCCTCCGCTCTTTCGTCTTCTTCTTCTCCCCTTCAGACGTCGCCTCTTCCTCCTCTCGCCGCCCGCGGGGTCTCCGCGGGGGTTTGGGCGGCGCCTGGCGCCGCGCTGTTGCTTCTGCTGGTGCTCGTCCGCGGTGGTGGTGCTGCTGCTGCAGCTGCTGCTGCCGCTCCTCCCCCGCCGTCTCCGCACCCTCCTTCTCCAGATGCCGCCTGGGCTGCCGCTGGGGCGGCGCTGTGCGCCGCGCTGCCGCTGCTGTGGCTGCTGCGCCTCTCCGCTGCCGCCGGTGCTGGTGTGCTGCTGCTGCCTCTCCTCTGCGTCGCCGCTCAGCCTGGGCCGCGTGCGCCGCTGGCTGGCCCCGGGGTCGCCTCCCAGGCTGCGCAGGGCGTCTCGGTGCTGTCCCTGCTGCTGGCCAGCATCCTGGTGGCGAGCCTTGGACGCCGCCGCCCGCACCGACGCCATGAAGGCCATCCTGCGCTTGAGCTCTTCCGTCTCCGCCTCATGTCGTAGGGGCCGCACTGGCCACCCAGTCCGGCGGGCGAATGGATTTCGCGGCACTTCAAGCCCTACCCGCCATGGGCGCCAGAGCGGGCAGGCCCAGAAGCCATGATCAGCACTCGGAAGCGCGCCCGCGCTGCACCCCGAACAGGGCCGTTCCGGTTGCCCCTTGGCCTTCGCCAGGCGGAGGTCGGACCAATAGTCACCAATCAAGATGCACGCAAAATCCGCGCCGCCCTTCTCTGCTATCAGGTCGTTCGCAGCCTCGTTGGCTCTGTGGCAGTGCCGCGCCCCTGCTTGACGTGCCACGCTGCTGTCCCCCCTCTTGGCCCTCAAGAAGGCGGCCCAGAGCCCGCGCCGCCGCGCTTCCCGCAGGAGGTGCTCGCGCGCCCCGATGTCCGCCGCCGCGCCGAACTCCCTGCCAAAGTTGGTTTCAGCGCTCTTGAAGACCAAGGTGTCGTCCTCGTTTTGCACGGCGGCCCACTGCAGAGCCCCCATGTTATGCAGGCACGCGCCCGCCACCCCAGCGCACTGCAGGCCGAGGCCCTGCCCGGCCAGGAACATCTGCGAGAGGCGCCGCTCGCCGACAAGCTCCCTGTACTTTTCCACCATCCTCCAAACTCGTTGCGTCATCATCAACAGGGGGCTGGAATGATGACGACAAAGTACCAGATCCGAGAGATGCGGTGACGCAGAACCTCACTGAGAAGCTTCGATCGCATTCCTGACAATCTGGCTCAGCTCACGATGCTTTCCCTTCGGCGCCCAGCGCACCACGAAGGACCACGTCAGCGCCGGCACGCAGCTCGAAGTCACCAGGGCCTGCCGCTTCTGGCACGGTAGCCCCAGTTTGCGCACTCTCGCAGCACGCCACCGGAACTCCTCGATCTTGCCCTGCTCGCGCCCCGACAGTGCGGTGCCCT